GGTCTTGAACTCCTGACCTCAAATGATTTGCCCGCCTCAGCCTCTCAAAGTGCTGGGATTACAGGCATGAGCCACTGTACCCGGCCTGAGAATCTACCTTTTCAGCTGTATATTTCAAGAAATCTAAAATACAGATCAAACTATTTCCAGTGAAAACCTAGCATCCTGGGCTGGGCATGGTGGCTCACTCCTATAATACCAGCACTTTGAGAGGGTGAGGAAGGCAGATCGCTTGAGGCCAGGAGTTTGAGACCAGCCTGGCCACCATGGCGAAACCCCATCTCTACTAAAAAAAAGAAAACCTAGTATCCTGTTTACGCCACTGCACTCCAGCCTAGGTGACAGAGCGAGACCCTGTCTCAAAAAAAAAAAGAAAAAGAAATCTAGTATCCTAAATGAGATGTACTGAATTGTAAAATACATGCGAGATTTTGAAGACTTAGTGCAAATAAGATATATCATCAGTAATTTTGATATACTCGTAGATTATTATCAAATATGAAAGGAGTATAGTCACATTATTATTAGAGCGATGTGCTTTTGCAACGTTTTACTAAATGTTGAAATGATACTATTTTGGGTATATTTGGATTAAATAGAATGTTTTGCAATAAGTTATAATGTGGTATAATGATAAATATGTAACCAATAATAAATGATGTAATTTATATCATATATCTAATAAAATATACATTATATATTAATATGTTAATAAATGATATATTAGTAGCAAAATATACATTATAACAAAATTACATTGTAATACATTATGATTTATTATAGTTCATTAAATTATATTGTAATCAAATTTATTATAAATAATATACATTATATATGTTATATGTAATGTAATATATATAATATATATTATATATTACATTATAATTAACAATTATAAACATTATAATAAATATGTATAAATTATAATTAAATTTATTATAAATTATAGTTTGGGTATAAATAGAATATTTACACTTAATGTTGTGAATTTTCTTTTTGGCAGAAAAGTGATTTATTTAGGTCGAGAAAGAGAAAAAGGAGAAGAGAGAAAGCTTCCGTGAAGAGTGTGGAAGGGGACCCCAGAGGGGTCTGACCACCAATGTGTCAACCATGTGTTTCCTCCTCCTGCTTCCTCTTGTATCTTTTCTTTTTTTGTTGTTTCTGTTTGTTTCTTGAGACAGAGTATTGCTCTGTCACCCAGGCTGGACTGCAGTGGCGTGATCTCAGCTCACTGCAACCTCCGCCTCCCAGGTTCAAGTGATCCTCCTGCCTCAGCCTGCCAAGTAGCTGGGATTACAGGCACCTGCCAACACGTCCAGCTTACTTTTGTCTTTTTACTAGAGATGGGGTTTCACCATGTTGGTCAGGCTGGTCTCAAACTCTGACATGGCAGGTGGATTCCTGTCCTTATCCATTGGTCCAAACCCACAGAATGTACAACAGTCTCGGGTGAAACTTGGAACTTAGGGTGAAAGTCATGTGTCCCTGGAGGTTTGCTGACTGCAACCAAGGCATTGCTCAACCGGGGGTGCTGGCAGAAGGGGAGGCTATCAATGTGTGGGGACTGGGGGTATGTGGGAACCTTCTGTACTCTCCCCTTAATTATTCTATGACCTGAAAAAACTCTAAACAAATAAAGCACATTTAAAGAAAATCACTGCTGTGGCTCATGCCTGTAATCCCAACACTTTGGGAGGCCGAGGCAGGCGGATCACTTGAGATCAGGAGTTCAAGACCAGTCTGGCCAACATGGTGAAACCTCATCTCTACTAAAAATAGAAAAATTAGCTGGGTGTGGTGGCGGGTGACTGTAATTCCAGCTACTGGGGAGGCTGAGGCAGGAGCATCACTTGAACCCAGGAGGTGGAGGTTGCAGTGAGCTGAGATTGTGCCATTGTACTCCAGCCTGGGTGACAGAGCAAGACTGTCTTAAAAGAAAAGGAAGGAAGGAAGAAAGAAAGAAAGGGAGGGAAAGAAACAGAGAGAGAGAAAGAAAAATAAAGAAAGAAGGAAAGAGAAAAAGAAAAGAAAGAAAGGGAGGGAGGGAAAGAAAGAAAGAGAGAAAGAAAAAGAATGAAAGAAAGAAAAGAAAGAGGAAGACAGAAAGTAAAAGAAAAAAGGGAAAGAAAGAAAGGGAAGGAGGGAAAGAAAGAAAGAGAGAAAAGAAAGAGAAAGAAGGAAAGAAAGAAGAAAGAAAGAAGCACCAATTGAGCTCCCCCCACCCCAGGGGAGCTCCCTGGGAAAAGACGTCCCGGACATGCTGCCCACTGATAGCACTGCCCACTGTCAGTCAGCGAAAAGGACGACAGCTACATTGGCTACACGTGGCCCTGTGGTTGGGGTCCTCCAGCCCTGAAGGGAACTCATCAGGTGTTAAGCCAGAGATAACCCTGCCAGGGATTTTACCCGATGACGAGCATGTGCACTGCTCCAAAAACTCACCCTAGAGTTGTCTTTTGCTCATTATGATAGTAAAAAACAGCCGGGCGCGGTGGCTCAAGCCTGTAATCCCAGCACTTTGGGAGGCCGAGGTGGGTGGATCACGAGGTCAAGAGATCGAGACCATCCTGGTCAACACGGTGAAACCCCGTCTCTACTAAAACTACAAAAAATTAGCTGGGCATGGTGGCGTGTGCCTGTAGTCCCAGCTGCTCAGGAGGCTGAGGCAGGAGAATTGCTTGAACCCAGGAGGCGGAGGTTGCGGTGAGCCGAGATCGCGCCATTGCACTCCAGCCTGGGTAACAAGAGCGAAACTCCGTCTCCAAAAAAAAAAAAAAAAAAAAAAAAAAAATAGTAAAAAACACACTCCTGGGTGGAGATTTTAGATGCTAACGAGACATGCCACGTGCATGCTAGCACATATAGTCACAGAGCATGCGCGCCCAAAGAGGCCTCCCGAAACATGCTTGCAAGTGACATCCCCTCACGCCCTTTCATGAAAAATCATGTAAGAGTCTCATAAAAACAGTCCACCAGCAGTATCTGCTGCTGGCTCATTCTCTTGGGAAGCTAGGTCTGTGTGTCATCTTTCAGAGCATACTTTTGCTATTTATTTATTTAGAGACCAGGTTTCGCTCTTGTCACCCAGGCTGGGGTTCAGTGGCATGATCTTGGCTCACTGTAACCTCCACCTCCCGGGTTCAAGCGATTCTCCTGCCTCAGCCTCTGGAGTAGCTGGGATTACATGCGCCTGCCACCTCACCCAGCTAATTGTTTTGTATTTTTAGTAGAGATGGGGTTTCACCATGTTGGCCAGGCTGGTCTTGAACTCCTGACCTGAAGTGATCCACCCACCTTGGCCTCCCAAATTGATAGGATTACAGACGTGAGCCACTCAGCCCGGCCCTGTCTCTTTAAATAAGCACTGCTACTACAATTTTTCCAGCGGAACCAGCCCGAGCTGTTCCTTCCTTCCATCAACTCTGCCACTTAACCCTGCTCTGTGTCTCTTGGCTGAATTCTGTCTTCCAAGTTAGACAAGAACTGAGGATTCCCGCAGTTCCTGGTAACAACACCTCTGTGGGAACCAGGGCAGAGAATCAAGTGCCAAGAAACAGAGGGTTGGTTGAGTTTGAACAAAATGAGATGACACTCAGATACCCTGGGGTCCCTGCCTCCCTGGGACTAGCCGCCATCCTCTCTCACCTTTCTTGTCCGACAAGCTCACGGCCAGAATCTCCCAAGTGGTGATGGAGTCTTTCAAAAATATATTCATGAGCTTCGTTGAGATTCTGGATGGAGAAGAGGTTGGGGCATCAGGAGGTGACATCTAGCAGGGTGATAGAAGGGGCGGGCTGGTGCAGAGGGACCCTGAGGGACAGGCTGGAAGGGTCTGGGGGTGCCTCCACGTGGGTAACCCAACTCCTGACTTTTCTAGTTTGGGCTGTGGGGTTGCACCGTGATTCCAGAGAAAACAAGAGATGGCAGGTGCATGCCAATTAAACGGTCTGGTCCTGGGGGGGCGCGCATCGCGGCTACCCTGGCCTTACCCATTTTTTGGTGGCTCTTTCAAGTCTTCAATCTTCCACAGCCAGCTCTCTGGGAACTCGCTTCGGGAAACAATGTGCTCTTCCGGGATGATGTCCTCATCCAGGTCACCTGCAGGGGGTTTGGATCTGCATTTAGAACAGATCAGGCCAGCCAGACTGTGGCTCATGCCTGAAATCCCAGCACTTTGGGAGGCCGAAGTGGGCAGATCACCTGAGGTCAGGAGTTTGAGACCAGCCTGGCCAACATGGTGCAACTCCATCTCTACTAAAAATACAAAAATCTGGCCAGGTGAGGTGGCTCACACCTGTAATCCCAGCACTTTCGGAGGCCAAGGCGGGCGGATCACCTGGGCTGGGAGTTCGACGCCAGCCTGGCCAACATGGAGAAACCCTGTCTCTACTAAAAATACAAAAATTAGCCGGGTGTGGTGGCACATGCCTGTAATCCCAGGTACTCGGGAGGCTGAGGCAGGAGAATCACTTGAACCTGGGAGGCTGAGGTTGCAGTGAGCTGAGATTGTGCCACCGCACTCCAGTCTGTGTGACAGATCGACACTCCATCTCAAAAAAACAAAACAAAAATCCCAGCTACTCAGGAGGCTGAGGCAGAAGAATCGCTTGAACCCCGGAGGCAGAGGTTGCAGCGAGCCGAGGTTGCACTCCAGCCTGCGTGACAGAGCAAGACACTGTCTCCAAAAAAAAAAAGTTTTTTTGTCTCATTGCATTGCCCAAGTTGGTCTTGAATTCCCTATCTCAAGCAATCCTGCTGCCTCAGCCTCCCAAAGTGCTGGGATCACAGGCGTGAGCCACTGTGCCCAGCCCAAAGTGGGTGGAATTCCTAAAGAGATACCTAAATATACTCATACTCTGAAATAATCAATCCAAGTGCCTTGGGATAGTAACATTTGGCCATTTTTTTTTTCTGACCCCCAGTGGACTAAAGGAATTACCCAATGCTGAGGAAAAATAAAACTCACCCCCATGTGGATGTAAACCATATTTCAGTAGACCAGACTTTTGTCTAATTTTCCCAATGCCCCTCACACCATTTCCTCTTTGTGAAGGAGATCATTCTGAATTTGCTTGAATTGTCTTTTTTTTTTCTTTTCTCTCTCTCTCTCTCTCTTTTTTTTTTTTTTTTTGGCACAGGTTCTTGCTCTGTCTCCCAGGCCGGAGTGCAGAGATATCTTGGCTCACTGAAGCCTCCGTCTCCTGGGCTCAATCTTCCCACCTCAGCCTCCCACGTAGCTGGGACTACAGGTGTGCACCACCACACCTGGCTAATTATTTTATTTTATTTTATTTTTGTAGATACGGGGTTTTACCATGTTGCCCAGTCTGGTCTCGAACTCCTGGACTCAAGCAATCTGCCCTCCTCGGCCTCTTAAAGGGCAGGGATTAAGGGTATAAGCCACCTTGCCCATCCAGTTTTCTTTCTCTCTTCCGTTCTTTTCCTTCCTTCCTCCTTCCTTCCTTCCTCTTTCCTTCCTTCCCTCCCTTCTTCCCTTCCCTCTTTCCTTTTTTTTTGTTTTGTTTTTGAGACACAGTCTTGCTCTGTTGCCCAGGCTGGAGTGCAGTGGCACAATCTCAGCTCACTGCAACCTCCACCTACCAGGTTCGAGTGATTCTCCCACCTCAGCCTCCCGAGTAGCTGGGATTACAGGCACCTGCCACCTCGCCTAGCTAATTTTTGTATTTTTAGTAGAGATGGGGTTTCACCATGTTGACCAGGCTGGTCTCAAACTCCTGGCCTCAAGTGATCTGCCTGCCTTGGCCTCCCAAAGTGCTGGGATTACAGGCGTGAGCCACTGTGCCCAGTCAATTTTCTCTTATTATAAGATAAATTTTTCTTTGCTTCACTTAAGAAGTGAAGACATGAGATCCTCCCCATTCAGACAGGGGCCTTCTCCTTCAGACAGAGGTCTCCTCCTTCTTCAGACAGGGACCTTCTCCTTCCTCAGACAGAAGCCTCCTCCCCCTCAGACAGGGACCTCCTCCTTCCTCAAACACAGGTCTCCTCCCTCCTCAGACAGGGATATTCTCCTTCCTCAGACAGAATCCTCCTCCCTCCTCAGACAGGGACATCTTCCTCCCTCAGACAGAATCCTCCTCTCTCAGACAGAATCCTCCTCCCTCCTCAGA